TAATAAAATCTATTTATTAAAGACAACACTCAGTATTATTAAACTTTAGACATGAGTCTATTTTTTGTCTGCAGTAAATTGGGGGAGGGGTGGGGTGGGTGATAACTAACATGTTATTTCACATTCATAAAATTTAAGCTTAATGGATGGAGGGCGGGGATGGGGGCCTAAAGCCTGTTTAGACTGCTTCCTTTATATATTTTCCTTGAAACATCCCATGCAATTAGTAAGTGCAGACCTACTTGTTCCAAAGAGAAAAAAATAATAACTAAATTACCTTCCAATTTCATCCTTGTGGAATTTCTCCATTCGCTTCAGCTTTTTAATTTCATCCATTGATTCTTGACTATTTTTTGTCTGCTCTTCTTCCTAAAGAAACAAATATATCCAGATAGTAATAATAATGCTTATAATAATGGAATTAAAACTTATTATTGGGTCGTGTCTCCCGAAAATGCCAATTTGAGTTGAATATTGACTCATAATTCTTTAATCTTAAATAGTGTTAACTTACCTGTAATCTGCCTATTTCAAATAATTTTTTGTTTTGATGTAACTTTTCTCACAGGCTCTTCTACATATTCTCATAATAAACTAAGTACTAATATTTATATAATGTTATATGTAAATGTGTAAATGGAGCCATTCATGTTTAGTACAGTACTAGTTTGTTACTATTTGTTTATCAAGATATATGTATGGTAAAAGATGTTTTGCTGATGATGATGTTGTTGATGATGACAATGATGCTGATGATGATGATTTTGTCCACATTAAGATGGTACCCACTTTTTTAAGTAGTTTCTCTGAAGTTTTCTTTTGAGCTGATAACAGTTTATGCTTTTCATCTTCTAGCATCTTCTGTTCCACTGCATGCTTTCGTGCCATTTGCAGGAGCTGTAAAAGATCATTTAGTGAAAAATACCATTTGAAATAACAAGTCTTCTTCTCCCTAATCCTGATATAAATATAAAATAACAATAAACCATTCTTATAATTTTTAATCCCTTTCCTCGCCCAACCAACAAAAACTGCCTTCCTCACTGTTTACAATAAACATGTTTGAGGCCTGAAGAAACCATATCTAGATCAGAGTCCAAAACTTCGATTTGGTGTATGAGAAATTTAATAAAAGAAAAAAGTGAATTTTGGGTTCAATCATCTGCATGCTAATAAACAAACCTTGTTGTAATGATTTTAAACATGTTGTATGCCCATATATAGTCATGAATATATATAGTCATGTTGTGATGTCATCATTTAACCATATTTAGGCATGTCACATGTTTGTCAAATAAAATTTGATAGTCTGTGCATTGAGTTATTTATTTAAGGTATAGCACCTTCAATAGTGATTGAATTATTAAAGGTAATTGTTTGAGGGAAATCAGGACAGCCTGCTGCACTCAAGCAAGCAAGCAAGGACCTCCCTTAAAATAATCCTTCCACCGCAAATCCGTAATATTTGCATGTTTTCACAGCATTATTATCAATTATCTCATGGAAGCGCCGATAGGTATCACTATGTGCTGCAAAAATGAAATCAGATGTGTTATGAAAGTTCATTTAACAGAATTTCCTGGAAGTGATTTCTTTCAACTTGGGACTTGAGTGATTGAACATGTTGCTCTCCGCTTACCTCATCTCGGCCTGCTTGCATTTTCTCTTGTAGCTCCTTCTCTAACTGTTGCCGCTGTTTATCCGCCTAGTTATCAAGCAATTAAAACATGTATGATTTGTTAATTACTGTATTACATGTCTCTTTTAAACACTGAATTTAGTCCAATGTGATAAGAATTATAGCATGGTATAAATTCCTGTACTATTGTTACTATTAACTTTTCCTGCCGTTAGCAGAAAAGGCCATTGGTTTTGTTCTGATTTTTTTTTTTTCTTTATCCTGTTTTGCTATGTAGTTGCAGAAGGATATTCTGTTTGCCACTCTGGTCACTTTCCAGACTCGGATCTTCTTCAAACGTTGTCTAAGCAAAGAACATATATCAACAATGTGCATATTAAAATATAACGTAATTTACTTTTATGTGTAACCACCCTTTTTTCCACCTTTTTCCCTCAATTTATAATATTCAAAAATCTGTATCTCATTAATCAACAAGCATACTTTTTGTGTCTTAGAAAAATCAGATGGACAAAAAAAAAATTGTTTTCTTTTTGAAGCCTGGCTTTAAATTTCAAAATAATTTAAATGCCAGGACAATATATAATCCGTGAAAAACATATAATATTCTTACATTTTTCTTTAGATATGTTAGCTCTGCATTTGCAGATGATTTTGCCTGTTCAAGTTCTGCTGACAGCTGTTCAACTTTTACCCGTTCCTTCTCTAAAGCTGTCGTAAGATTGTTTATTTCTTTATCTAAAATATGAAATAGAACAAAATTCATGTTAATTACATACACTGATACTTAAACCAGTTTTCAATACAACATACTGATTACAACAGCGGTAAAATAATCAGTTCAAAAGATTTAGAAGGAATGTATTGGTATAGATAAATACCATTATGTACAATCAAGGTATTTTATATATCTCTTGCTCGCTAAACAAAATTTGACCTAATGCTAAAATACTGAGCCAACATCTTGCTTTGCCTTGGTGTGAACACAAGGAGCTTTAGTGCAGGAATACCCATTCTATGAACACTAGATTCATACATATATCATATGTTACTTGATAAAAATAAGTCATATTCTTAAGCATCCGATTGGAAAACTGTCTACACCTGTGCCTTGTACCTTATACCTTGTTCAGCTTCCTAAACATCCACCAGGGATTATAAATGGAAGTCGATGAGAGTGAAGTATTAATCTATTATGGTTTTAATTCAAATTATATTCAGTTAATTAGGCCTCCCCCCACCCCCACACTTTTTGGAAAATGAAAAAAAAAATAAATAAAATAAATAAAAAATTGATTGTGTGAACAGAGTATTAAGCCCCATCCAGACTATTAAATTCTATTTGACAAAAACATGTGACATGCCTAAATATAGTCATGATTAAATCCCATCATGACCATATATAGGCACATCATGACTATATATGGGTATGCAACAGTTTTTTTGACAATGAAAATTTGATACACATAGTATGGACGAAGAAAAATACAATATGATGTGCATGCCTAAAGCTTTAAAAATTCAAGTTCTAAAAAAATACAAAGTAACAAAGATTTGACTTACGTTGCTCTTCTGTGTTTTCATCTTTGGTGTCAAGGGCGTTCTCAAGATTGAATATTTTTTTGCGAAGTTTTTGATTCTCTTCCTTTAGGTTCTGAACCTCATACACAGCTACTGGTGTTGATGCTTCCGTTCTAACAGCATCCTAGAAAACAATTAGACTGTTTTTCTCAATTTACTTTCTAATAAAGACTAATATAAAATATACCTAATTCAATGATTATTATTTAACATATGCAGTTTGGATAAGTAAAGACAAAAATAATGAGAAAATTTATTATGTTCGGTGAGGGTGGTCCATCTAGCTGGAGTTGGAGCTGGAGATAGCGTAAATAGCGTATCTAATGAATTGGCAGGAAAATATTAGGGGACGAGTGTGAACTTCGAGTGTTAACTTGTTGCTGGCCTCTGCCAAGTGCAAGTTTTCTAGTCCGCTTTTTGCATGGGTTGGTATATGTTAAGAGGGCGCCCAACATGTGCAATCTTTTGTACTGCTGGTAACATAACACAACACATTATTTGCATATTATCGTCTAGGTTATGTTTCCACTTGCCGTTAAGACTGTGGTTCTACAATGTATAACAATGAAGTAATAAACTCTAGTTTTACCCTAGTTTTGATGAGTATAGTCATCCCTACCGCCCTAAGCAACATCCGGTGGGACGTGCATGCTCATCGCTGGCAGCAAAACGTGTTAAGTCCAAGCAAATAGAAACTGCAGTAATTTGCGCTAAATACACCTTTCATTACACATAGAGTCAATGGAGGTGGTATAAGGCACCAAAGTACTATTATTTAATAGGATGATTACACAAGAACTGGTACGATACCTCGGTGGCTTGTTGTAGCTGCATCTTCAGCATATCAATTATACCCTCTTGCTGAGTAATTTGGTATTGCAGCTGCTTGTAACCTTCCTCCACCTTGCTGGCCTTCGATGCCTGATGACCAGCAGCTTGCTGCATTTTGAGCCCATAATGTTTCTAAAAGATTAGGATAAAAGGTATAGCAGCCTGTCATTACAGCTGGAAACTCAAAGAAAGAATAGCTCATAAAAAAGTTGATGAAAGTACATGGTGTACCGAAAGCATATGGAGCTTGTCATGCCAAAACCAGCATTAGCGATAAAAACAAGAACAAGATTTAAATATTCATATACTCCTCATTATAAGTTTTAAAATGTTAGGTCATCTGGAATCTTGCCAAAGTTATGTATGAGTATAAAGTATTCGCTGTATTAAAGTGTACAATAGGGATTCGATTTCAATTTGTCTGATAACGCAACGTTAGAACGGAATCACTCATGTGTGAACATCCTACAGGGCGTCCTACGTTCTCTGCATAAGTAGATCTGGCCAAATTGCGTCCTAAAATCTATGTGACAAGGTTAACTTAAATTTTTTTCGCATGCGCAGATAACTTTTAGCAACGTCATTACGTTATACGTCCTACCGTTGTCGTGCAATATTTATTTATTACGCTTCATCACTGTACAAAGAAAACTGTACAATATAAAAACACAACGGACAGCAGCGAAAAGGAAGGGATGAACAGGTGACAAGCACCTCTGTCTACATCCCAACCTCACAATCAAAGATACAAGAAAACAGGGAAATATATATATATTTCTTTTTTTTTTAATTGCAAAATAAGATAATTACTGTATTTAATTATTTATTATTAAATGACATAGAAAAATATAAAATACCTTATAAATTAATTATTATTTATAAGGTTAAATATCATAGAAAAAGGTACAAAATACCTTGGGTATAAAAAACTAAGAAATAGTTAAATTGCATTTTTTTAGTTATTCTTTAGACATATAAAATTACATACAAAATTACAGAAATAAGAAAAACTCCCTACTGTAATACTGCCACATTCTTATGCTAATTACTCAGTTTAACATCTAGCGACAGTACACTGGTTTTTAGGATGGCAGGCCTCATATAATAATTATTATAGTAAGTAAATTTACACCACTTGTGCTTTGTTTATTATAGATGAAACAGATATACAGTCATAGCAAACCAGATGAAAGTCACCCAAATCACTTGGAAGATTTTTTTTGCAAGTATTTGGGAATTTACTGAGCATTCAGTACTTATAACACGTCAGCTAGGGTAAACATAATTTCGTAATTAATAATATAATAATAATTATTATTATTATTCCGTTTTTGTGTAGCACATAAATATAAACAAAATATCTCAATGCGCTTTAAAAGTTGATGAAAGTAAAGGTTGTGAAAAGTGTGTCTAATTGAAAGAGTAATGTAAATGAAATTGATTGAGCTTTTAGTTGAGATTTAAATTGACTGATGGATGAAGCATGACATATATATGTATAATGTACTGGTGCAGCAATAAAGAATGCACCAGCACCATAAGACTTTGTACATGATACGGGAATGTGGAGAAAATCTTGATTGTCTGAGAGAAGATGACTTGTTTGTGTCTACAGGCAAGGAAGAATAAAAGAAACAATACCTTCCACTCATTGTTAATCTTAACAATAGCATTCATAAGTTGTTGTTTGAAACTTCTTCGGACAATTGCCAATCTCTGTAAAAAAACAAAATAGCATTTTCAATTGCAATATTTAATGACGGTATGAATAATGATTTAATTGTACATAATAAAAACATGTACAATACAACAAAGTAGGTTTCATCTGAAGTTTGTAAAAGAAACCTCAAATATTAAATCATTGAATAGCTCATATAAGATGTATCACACAAGTTAAACTTTAATATATAAACCAGGGAATCTCAAATATATTATGATGGGGGCAAGTTTGTGGATTGAATCAATTTGAAGGTAGCTACCACATAAAAAAAAATTAATGTAGTGTTAAATGATGCAATTATAGTGACATTAATTGAAATTTGGTATTTCTGAGCTTATATTTTATCCAACTTATTACAAATAACTGTCTATAAAAATGGGTTGCGCCTGACCATGTTTCTAATTTAATTGGATAATTCTACTGACTGATTATACTGATTACATATATCTACAATGTGTAGGGCAATATAATAGTACAATAATATTCAAAAAATTAAAATTAGTAAAATGTTAATTATTAGATGACAGAACAATTTATTTATACATCTTAATTACAGCTTTATTTATGATTCAATTCTATTATTATTATTATAAATTATTATTATTATTAATTATTATTATTATTATTATTATTATTATTATTATTATTATTATTATTATTATTATTAATGTAGTTTGTGTACCCATGGAGGTACAAAGGATCACAGTTGGTTTCAGCCATGGAGGTATACAAATTTTTATACCATTTTTATACCTCCATGGTTTCAACTGAGTTGTTTACTCAGGTTCAAGACATAATAAATGAAATAGTCAAAATAGAACTGATTTGATTGATTACACAGAGAGTAGAGCAATAGACCTAGTCTTTAGAAAAACCAAAAATGTTACTGTATATAGGCCTTGTTCTTATAATGGGACTTATAACATGCAATCATGGGCCCGCAGGCCGGCAGTGGAGAACACCTGATATAAAGATTGAAACAAATACATTCTTTTTTTTCTGATTTACTATAATATAATGGTTTATGAAATGCATACAAGGATGGTATTAGTTATGAAGCCATTATTTGGTGGTTTTTCTGATTATATTGTACTTCTGAAATGAAAGCTAATAGGTTACTAAATAAGCTAAGTAATTCAAATAATAAAATTGATTTGGTTTTTTTTATCCATAATCTACAGGGCTTTTATTAATTGTTGGGTAGTCAACTGAGTCGTACCCTACTCATTCATTCCATTCTATTTGAGAGCTGTGGTTAGCAAAAAAACATGTAATCCGTATGAATCTATTGGAGAGTGGTGCTTATTAAAGAAAAACACTTATTTTATTATAGATACATGAGTGGAGAGGAGCTATGAAGATGATGTATCTTGCCTAAAGCTGTAAAGATTATCAAATTTCCTTTGACAAAAAAAACTGTTGTATGCCCATATATAGTCATGATGTGCCTATATATGGTCATGATGTGATGTCATCATGACCATACTTAGGCATGTCACATGTTTCTTTTTCTTTTTCAAATAAAATTTGACAGTCTGGACAAGACTTTATGCACATCATCAGTCAGACTCAAATCCTTGACCAATTGATTGGAAGCCTAACTTACCATTATATAATTATTAGGACCACAATGAAAATAAGTTGACCTTTGCATTACTTTTTTGCATATTTTACCCTTGGAATTTATATTATGATATTAATTTCGAATAAAATGAAATGAAATGAATTATAATATAAATAAAGACATTGATTTTAACCTTTAACATAAACAGCTTATATACGGTTTTATCTATCTATCAATTTTATTGCCATTGCCAAGCTACAGGGGTCCCAAGTCTCTCGGAGCTCACAGGAGTCTCCGGGAAATCGGGACAACGTTCCGCACTCCCGCAAGCAAGCAAGAATCTCCCGGAAATAACATATATAATAATTCATATATTTGCACATTTTCAATATTTATTATCAATTGCCTCATGGAAGTGAGTGCTGATTGGTATCACTATGTGTAGTAATAAATTTAGAAGGCATTAACCACTACAGATCACTGGAGGATTCAAAGGGGACAGCCGGCCAGGGCTATTAAATTTTCCAAACTATAACAAAAAAAATGTGGAAAAAATTAAATTATATTCTAAAAATTATGAGGTTCTATAATCATAAAGTCCCTCCCTGCCTCGCCTACCCCTTCCATTTCGAATTCCTGGATCAGTAGATCTCTCAAAAATGACTTCTTCCAACTTGGGACCCCTGAAGCTAATATAATTACGCACCTCATCCTGTGTTTTCTCAAGTTCAGCTACTCTTTCGTTGACTCTGCAGTACAAATCAAGCGTCTTTTCCTGCAATTTGTTTTCATAGTCGGCATGCATCACATGTTTGGTTAAATTTAGGTCTCTTTTCAGGCTTCTGGCTTCCTACATGAAAATAAAGCACAGAAAAAAATAGTATACTGTAACACAATAGAATAATAGCATATTACTGGATTTGAACTCGTCACTGAGGACGGGTTAGGTGATCCGCTTGTCAAGCAAAAGATAACTCCCGGCGCTTACAAGTATGATTTATGGAAAAATACCGTAGCCAGGATTGTCAAACTGTGCAGTTCAATATCAAGACTGCTGCTCTCTCTTGGGTCATTCAAAAATTTAAGAAAGGAAGAGGCGGGGGAGAGGTTAGAGAAACATTCATTTTTTACCATGATGATGTCATCAAAGTGAAAAATAAATGACACATTCCCCTACAAAACAAAACAGGGGCTTCAGCAAGGACTGTACATTATTGCCATTACCACTGATAAAGCACGTCGCATGAATGGCACGGTCGGTTAGGCATGTGTTCTAACGAACATAAGGTCATGTGTTCGAATCGCGTATAGATATTCAATATTTTTTTTCCAATTTTAAGAATTTATTCTTGTTAAATTTTGTTAATAGACACTAATAGATCTTAGTAGTTTTCTCATCGCCTATTAAGGCTTTTCAGAATTTGCACATTAGCATATTCATAGAAGGGATAAATTATAGTCAGTTAGTAGTTTATTGTCTACTTTTAATAGGAAGTAGATAACAGATTTGTATAGAGCTATTTGTTTTAGACATTACATAGATATCAGTTGATAGGTACAGAGTAGACTCATAATAGTTTTAACTACCTGCTTAGAGCCTTAGTAGACTGGCATTAGTTTACAAACCATTAAATATCTGTTATTTAAGTAGCTATTATGTAGACAGTCTCAGTGTATGCTGTTTCTTGCTGATAGTAGACTCAGGATAGTCCACAACTATCTATTTCAATGTGTTAGTAGACTGCTAGTAGTATACAAACAGTTGCATCAATAGATTTAAATTCAGATGGCAAATTTAATAGTTTGTTGATAGTTGCTTAATAGTCTTTAACTAGAGTAGGCAAACACGCCTACTATTACTCACGAAATATGATGAGGCAAAAAATTATGCTAAGGCAAAATCTCGCTCAAAACTACAAAATATCTACTTATTAGTACGCAGTTAGGAGGTCATCTATTAAGATCTACTAATGCTTGTCTACTATATTAAGCTAACAGATATAGATCGACTGATTAAATATGGATCAAGGTCCTAAAAGGGGATCATTGTGTACCTCCTCACATACTTATCTTTATTCATCATAAAATATTATTTCTAATTTCTCCTTTATTATTTCTATTTTTATGCAATATAATTATATATATGATAACATTTTTTGATGTACAATACTCTGGTATCCAAGCTTTAATACACATGTTTCGAGGTACAAACATAAATATACTTTACTGTTTTACTAAATTATAAAAATTATAATTTTTTTTATTTTTTAAATGCACTCACTTGAACAAGTTCTTGAATCACGACTGTCATTTCCTTTAACTCAACAATCTCAGATTCTGTTGTCTGTGTTGCTCGATCCTGTCGGAAAAACCCAACTTTTTGCTGATCAGCAAGTGAAGGCCTTTTAGGTTGAATTAAGATGACAACATCAAGTATTAAGTAAGTATTATAATTAAGTATCAAGATAGCCTAGGCAATCATTCAAGCCTAACTAACTAGGCTCAGCCTACTAGGGCTATATGTAACTTAACAAAAAAAATATATAGGCCTAGGCCAAGCCAGGCCCTAGCTTAGACCTAGATAGCCACTCCAGGACAATTAATAATAATAATAATAATAATAATAATAATAATAATAATAATAATATGGTAATAATAATAATATTAATAATATCGCTGTGGCTAGAGATACGGTACCATATATCTTCTTCAATTTCTGCAAGGTACGGTAAATGGCATTACATCACCATTACCAGCGAACCATTAATTGGTCCAACGGGTGCATTTTTCGCAACCGGTGTGGCCCCTGTTAGCAAGTGCACTCTATAAAAAAAAAAAATTTTTTTTAATTAAAAAAAAAATCACCCAATGAAGTGCGAAATGTATGTGAGGGTTCCACTCAGTGATAAGAGTCATGTCATTTATCTATAACCATCTCAAGCAAGGGCCTGAATCCTCAGGACCAAACTTTTGACGTAGGCCCAGGCCTTGCTTAGCCTCTTCGCTTAGGCCATGTAAAAATTTTAAAAATGGTGTTATCAAATTTCATGGTAAAGAAGGAGGTTGAACATGAAAAAATAGTTTCACAAAGAAAAACAGCAAAACAGAGAAAAAGAAAACAACAAAGAACAAAATTGCATATAAGAAATTATGTAATTCATTTATAGCAAGCAGAAACTTTACCTATGAATAACCAGAGAGATGTTTTATATCCTCCCTGGAATAAGTCAAAATGCAATTATCTCTATATAATCACGCAGGTAAATGACCCTTACGCCTATTTATTGATGACAGTACTAAGTACTTGTAGAAGCGGTTGGCGCATCGATTGTGGCTTGGACTCCCAACCTTGAGGTCAGGGTTTCCAAACTCTCACTATGCAGATCACTTGCGTCCTTGGGCAAGGCACTTTATCTGTGTTTGTCTCTCTCTACCCAGGAATATAAATGTGTACCTGGTAGGATGTTGTGGCATTGAATGTTCTAGTTTCGTGCACTAAAGAAGTAGCAACGACTAGGGATACTCCCCAGGGGGCAGAGAAGGTTGCACTTTGTGCTGGTTTGCCATTGTTCGTTATCCAGGGGTAATAACGCTCGTGCCTTTGATCATTAAATTTGGAAATGGCACCATATAAATGTACTTTTTGATGTTCATCATTGTGAGTGATCTGCAATGTATGTCAGTCTTGAAAGATGACGTCTCACACATTCTGGCACTTAATTAGGTGATGGTGACGCAATGTAATTTACCATACATTTAGCTAGGCTAGGCTAAATAACAGAAAAGACTAAATAGGGCAGGCCTAGGGGGCCCTAGGCCTATGCCCTTTTCAAGTTTTCTATTATTGTTTGTAGGCCTAGAATCCTGCTACTAATAATAATAGTAATAATACAAGGCCAATGCCTAGTAGCTAGGGCTGGGCTAGGACTACTTAGGCCTAGGCCTAGTTTAGTTAGGGCCAGGGTATGCTAGTGTAGTGCCGGTCAGCTTGCAGTCACCTGATCAATAGGTTCTGGTGATCACATGATCCAATGTGCAAGGGCGGTCATGACCTATGACATTGCGCCCTGGGATGACGTCACCGTCCCAACCAGAGACTGAAGGGTGAAGTGTCATTTGAGATTTGACGATAGCACTGATAACATAACCTGAATTCTACAAACCGTATCTACTGAAGAAACTTCCACCTGGACTACGAGCCAGTGGCAATTTAGGTGAGATATGCTATTATACTGTATACATCTTAAGTCAACCGTAGTAATAAGTATAACATTTTACTATAATGGCGACGAGGATTAAAAGATAATTTTTAGGTACCCTGGTGGTGTGCAGGACCTCGTATGGTGTATCCAATGTAGCGTCCAGCAGCTAGCGAGGCATAGCCCGCAGCATCGACTACCTCCGAGGCCAAATTAATTACTCGTTAACTGCCATCACTTTGAATTGGAGAACCGGGAAAGTACTGTGTGTCACTCTACTTATTCCGTTTTCTGAAGCAAGGTGTTCGTAATGTTTTCTATGTCAGAATATTCGAATATTCGAGTATTATTTTTTAGTTAGGTCTGTCTTGGAAACGGGATAGAATGTTGTTCGTTGTTCTGTTCGGTTTCATCCGAGCATTATGATTTATCTGACTCTGTCTTGGAAACGGGGGTCGGTATACTTCATGTGGTTTTATGTAGCGTCATGTTTTGGTTTAGTTAGACCCTGTCTTGGAAACAGGGGTCGTTTTATTCTTTTTGGTAATTCTGTCTTGGAAACGGGAATTGCCAATGTCTAGAAATATATATATTTAATGTGTTGAGTCGAGAGTGCGCTCCGATTCAGCACGTATTTTAAGTTTTTATTGGCTTATTGTGCCACAGATTTTTAGACTATTATTACCGACCGTTCTACGGTTGTTGTTTAGGATTAACATAGACAGTGGTTGATTGTGTAGAATTAATTTTCGCCCTATATTGTGGGGCGTCTGTTGCTCAACCATTATCAATTTTGGTTGACTCGAATTTCAACAATGCCGTGGTTTTGAGCGGTGAACATATTCCACTTTCAACCAATCACAGACATGCATTGTTGATCTCGTCTGTGCTCGCCAGCCAATAACGCTGCAGCTGACGCATGAACAGTTAGCGGCCTAGGAATTCTCCAGGGTCGCGCTGTTCAGTTTCGCTGTAAACAACTTGGTTACGCCAGTTTTTAGACTGGCGCCCTCTATGTGACTGAAGATTATGTAGGCTATTCGTCGATAAAGGGATATTCCTTGTGTGCTATTTTTAGCAGACTCGTATTCGTACTTGTGTGCTATTTTTAGCAGACTTTACGGTTAACCAGTAGTAGTATTCTAGTGTTTTATTTCTTTATTACTTCCATTTTATTTTATTATCATAATAAGAGGGGGAGGAGATATGGTATTCCTTCTTGCTCTATCTGCGTACCTATTGTTTTTATGTACCGTACATTCTACTGGTGTTCTGTATTCATTCTATTATGGTCTTGTATGTTCTTGATTCTTGATTTGTGTAATAAATTGTGGTTTTTCGAGTCATGTGTCATTTAATTTGTATCAATTGGTCTTGTATGTCTAGATTCTTTTCTCCTTGATATTATTATTATTATGCTCATAGATATTCCCCGCACCATTGTCATCAGTCATTATCATTGAACATATTATTTTTGTTATTATTTTAATCATGAGCATTATTGCCATATGATTTTTATTGACATTTTTATAGTATTATTATTCTCAACACGATTATTAATACTATTATTATTATTATTATTATTATTATTATTTTATTATCATCATTATCACTCATTACCATCATTATTCTCAACCTGATTTTCTGAGATGCGTTGCGTTTATTTTTCGGTAACTGTATTTCTACTATCGGGATACCACCAGGAGCGGTTCCCAAGAGGTGGAAGCAACCGGAGCCATCGGCGCCCCCTGCGGGGCGGGCAAGTGAAGGATTTCCACCGTCAACATCGCCCCAGAAGGGACGGGCGGACAAAGAAGTCACTTCATCTGGAAGGTGTGACCTTCTGTTGCCGCCAATACCCCAGTTGGGCAAGCAGCAATGGAGGTACCCCCAGAGCAGCTACCGCTGCCTCCGAGTCCATCCAGGAGTCGGGACATCTCGGCGTCGCCTCTGCTCCTTGCTGGGCAAGCGGCAATGGAGGTACTCCCTGAGGACTTACCGTTGCATGTGAGTCCCTTGGCGGTCCTACTGCCTCTCGACTTGCCCGAGCAGATGGAGGTGGATGATCAAAATGATGATCTCCCCCTCTTTCTGCCCAAAATGACCCAGTACGGAAAATTTAAGGCCCGCATTGGGGACCCACCGTCTTGGACGGTTGCGGTTCGTCCGTGAGCGATTTTCAGTAGAGACTCGTTTCCACGTGCAAGACCTCCTGCCTAAATGAACGGCTGTACACGCTAATGTGGTCTGCGGGCCGTATGGTGAGGATGTTTACACCCTTTCCTTCACGCAACCTGCACCAGTTGGCGAGCCAGTCTCCTTAGCTGACGTAATTGACCAGCAGAAACAGCAGCTGGCTGACCCACGTTTCGGCGGGGTCGATGTTTGGTTCAAGCAGGGGGCAATGAGGCAGCCAGAAGGGCCGAAAACCGCCAGGGAACCTAGTGGGGCTCAGACGGGGCCTGCTGCCAAGCAGCAAAAACGCCCGATGCAAGATGGGGACCCTCCGGGGCCACAGGCAGGGCCAGCTGCTGCCGGGCACCCACCAGGGGTCCAGGCGAATCAGCCCGAAAGGACTGAGAAACGGCCTCGGCTGTCCACCAGACGGAGGAAGACGGCAGCACAAGCTAAGGAAAGGGAAGCTGCTTTGACGGGAGCAGCTAGGCTGTCCTCTGAAAACCGTAACGCCACCTCAGGTGGCGCCGCAGTAGCTAGACCACCCCCAGTGGGTGAGAAAGCCACTGCGCTGAAGCATAACGCCGCTCTGATTGGCGCCGCAGCAGCGGGACCATCCCAAAGGGGTGCAACTGCTGTTGGGCATGAGCATACCGCTTCGGGCGGTGCTGCAGTGGACTACTCCAATGGAGGTGAGGCTACTGCAGCTCATGTGCCTAGGCGCCCGTTCGCATGCCCGGGGCCAGGGTGTGGGAGGGTTGAAGATAACCCCAAGAACCACTTGGCCCGGCATGTTCCCGTGTTTTGCACGGAGGCGTCCAATGACTTTGGGGTTGCAAGCTCCAGAGCTCGTTGGAGTTACATCTGTCAGCTGGTCCGGCTGGTACCTGGTACAAACGGGACAGTGGCGGGCGCTATGGACCTCATCAATGCCAGCTCTTATATTCGGCCTGGATTGAACTTCACTCCTAGGTTGAGAAGGATGATGGTACTGATGCAGAGAGCCGCAGGTCGTCTCCCCTTGGAGTTACAGACTACTCATTGGAGCCAGTCAGAACACCTATTGCGTTACTGCATACTAGGTGCCTCCTTTTCTTGACGGCAAGGGTGGACCCTAACGCTCTGCTCCGGTTGAATTGTTGTTTCAGCAGTGGTTCGGACCAGCAAGTTAGTGGTCTGTTCTATAAACCCGTCAAGGGACGACCCCAACCAGGGTCGAAATCGGTCAGCGGTGCATGTGCTGAGGTGTCACGACCCACTTCTGGGGGCGGCCTCCCGTGCACAAACGACAGAGAAGGGTGTTTCTGCTTTTAGCAGACCCCGACGACCCCAGCAGGGGTCGGCTGCAGTAACATCCAGCAGCTCATCGGCTTCGAGCAGGCCTCCACGACCCCAACAGGGGACGGCTGCATCAACACCTGGCAGTTCCACAACTGGAGGTCCTCAATCCCAACGGGGGTTGACGTCGAGCTGGGCGAGTGTGACCCGGGGGAGGGGTACCACAGTGGACAGACGAGCTGGACCCAGACCGGTCACACCACGAAGGCAACCCTCCGCTAGTCAGGGGTGCCACCCAAGCCGACCCGTCTCTCCTGTGAGAGACGAAGCCTTAACTTCTCCAAGGAGTCCTCGGGCCAGGAGAAGGAGTTATTGGCCGCCGCCATACGGGATGTGGAACGGGCCCTTGAGGCCCTTCGCCGTCTAGAAGAGAATGAAGAGGATGATGGCGAGCTGTAGTCCCCGGACTACTGACTGAGTATTTTTATTTTCATTTTTCCATTCTTCACTTACTTGGGTGTTGCGAGTAAGCAAACCGCCCAGGGGTTTCAATATAAACTATTGGAGCGCGTCAAAATATCATTAAAATCAAATTCAATCTATATATAAATATACAGTATTTGATACAGTATGGAAACTGCTTCCAAAATTCAAAGATTATCATATCTCCACCCCAAAATTTAGGAGACCCCCATGTCTTCTCTTTTCTGCATATTACAATTATTTTATTTTTGCCACCATTGACTTTTTATTTTATTTTGCAGTTGTGAACATAATACTTATCCGTACAATTGAGGAAAAAAAAATCCAATAACGGAAATGAGAGGTAAACAAACCTCTTTATAAATTTTGCTTATGCTATATGTCATTAAATACCATACTATACCCCTTAAGGGAAATGTGACGGTTCGCTCTCAATGTTAAAATGAGCGTAGTGTCTGTGTTCTGTTTACATGGTGGCGAACTTTGCCCGTTCTCAGAATTATAGTGCACTATTTAAGAACAATTCGCTCATTTTTATTTCTAAGTTTACTTATTTTCTTATTTAGAATTTCAAAATATGTACATATGTTACAAGGTGTTCTAATTAAACGGGATTTTCACATCCCCTTTTGGTATTTAGTGTTGAATTGTGGGGCTTAATTCTACCCCACTACTGCATGTTCTTGGTGTTTCTTTTTACAAAAAAAAAAAAAAAAAAAAAAATTGTCAGGAAGAGGAATTCTGTGGCGTCTGCACCCGCACGTTCATTTAGAGGAATGCGCCAAACCAGTCAGGAATATGTCAACCCGGACCGTCTCCCCCATCAAAAACAAATAAAAAATAAATAGGGGAAGAGTGTAGTGCCGGTCAGCTTGCAGTCACCTGATCAATAGGTTCTGGTGATCACATGATCCCATGTGCAAGGGCGGTCATGACCTATGACGTTGCGCCATGGGATGACGTCACCGTCCCAACCAGAGACTGAAGGGTGAAGTGTCACTTGAGATTTGACGATAGCACTGATGACATAACCTGAATTCTACAAACCGTATCTACTGAAGAAACTTTCACCTGGACTATGAGCCAGTGGCAATTTAGGTGAGATATGCTATTATATACATCTTAGGCCACGAAAATGAAAGTTGTAGGTTTGCGTCCGAAAAATTTTGAAAACACATGAGGCATTTTTTCATTTTTCATTATTCATTATTTTTTTTTATAAATGCTGTCCACAAGCCGCGGCATTGGTAATTTTACATTTATTCCCAAGAAACAATGCTTACAGTCATAAATGTACACTAGCCTATAAAACAGATCCTTTTCTACATTTAAGACCTCTTTAAACATACGAGATTTCCTATTGGTCTGAAAGATCGATTTGACCGTAAATGACCTCAGCAGTGATCGGCGATCATGGTGCGATGTGACCAGGCCTGCCTTCGCTCGGTGTTCGCGACGAGTGATCACTGATGAATAAATCGTTTTTCTGTCTGTTTACGACTTAGAAAGTCCGTTTTTTAAAACGAAGTATATTTTTTTTCAAAATAATGAACTTTTCAAAATAATGAAAATTTTCGTGTGGTAGCTTTTTAGGCATGCGGGTGGTGGACGCAAACCTACAACTTTCATTCCCGTGGCCTTAATTTAAGTCAACCGTAGTAATAAGTATAACATTTTACTATACTAAAATCAAGAAGCCTACTAACCATGCCTAGGGCTAGGTCTAGTAGTAGGCCTAGTACTAGCTAGCTAGGGCCTGCTATACTCGCCATATCAAACAAGCCTAGCCTAGGTTAGCTAGGCTAGGCCTAGGGTAGGCAAGGTAGGCGAACGCGCCGGCTAGGCTACTAGGCTTAGCCTACCCAGCTAGGGCCTAGGCTTAGCATGGGCTCAGGTCAATGGAAAACTAGATTCTGCTTAACAAAGAAAACCTATTTTTACCTCACATCGTCGTCGTCTTCATCTTCATCATCGTCACTTGATGAAGGAGCAGGCGGTTCATCCCCCATACCGGAATTTGTAAATGTACCTCTTTCGTCCGACAGGCCAGCCATTTTATTTGTTGATTAGCAACAAGTTTAAAGTTGCCAGGATTTTAGTAACTAAATGTTCCCAATTCTCCCTTCAGTGGAAACGTACATGCAGATTGCCAAAAGGTCACATAGAAAATAGAAGCTTAGCATTCATTTTAGTATTATTCAGAAGAAAAATATTGTGTATGAAAGCAAAAATGTTTCTCCCCTACGAATTGTGCTTTTTCTCCCCGACGGGGGGGGGGGATTCCCTCTCCCCGACTAGGGGGGCTCCCCCTCTCCCCGCTGGCGCCACCCCTGTTTTCAACCATTTTATGGGAAGACCATAAAAATAAAATAATACTGCATATTATATTAGGAATTTTAAATCCATACCAGAGTTAATTTTTTTTTTTTTAAATAATTCTTTGCTAATTTATATAGGACATTGTTAGGCCTAATGCAGGGGTCCAAAGAAATGAGACGGCCTCGCGCACTTCCACCAAGCATGCAAGCCCTAAATTTTCAAATATTTTCAAATAGATAAAAAAAGAAAATTATATTTAAATTTAATAATTGTTTTGGTGTTTTCGGAAGGTGTGCACTGCGAAACACTCAAAATTATTATTAATATTATGTCAAGAATATTAGCCTTTTCACACGCTATAGTCTCAGTAATTGTTTAGTTTTCCACCAATCAGCAGCAAGCCTCACTACCCAAACATATAAATATTTTCCTTTTATTTTCTGCAGATAAGGATTATTCTCTTGAAGACGATTAAAGTAACTTAATCGAAACGTCGAGACATTTATTTTTCAAAACTATCTATGTGGTGTACCACAAGTATTATAGGCCTAAGTTTATTAAATTAGCATAGGGCCTATTTAAATAGTTAATGTGTCTTTTTGATGTATTTTTGCAGATAGGCCTACTTTTCATCCAGGATGTTTTCCTTAGTTTGGACCTTGAGTTTGTAGATCCCGTCCTTTTGCATATGTTTTTCACTCCGGTGTTTTTAGCGTATTTTAAACAGTGCCTTTTACCAGGGATTCGAATTCTAAGTTTATGTATCGTGATTGACCCAAAAAAAAAAGCATACTTGATTTTAAATAATGTATCACTAATAAAAATATTATAATATGTATCAAACAAAACGAGCCAATTCAAATCAATGAAATTAGCAAAAACATGTGTCAATGCTTTTGCTCGCGTGGTTGCCGGCCGTACTCGCGCAACTTTTGAAGTTTCAAAAAAACTTGACTGGTGATAGTGATTATAATAAAAATGCTCCAGTCATTAATAATTCGACAGAACTTGGCTTGGAAAATGGCCTTAAATGGCCTGGTTAATTGTTTAAAAAAAATCCTCGAATTTGCTAGCTCCTTGAGGATGCCTCTTTTACTCCCTACTCCTAAAGGCCTAGGCTAGTAATAAATACTAATGATAATCGGATTTGTAACTTCTAAGAGGGGCATACTGTATTCGGTCTCTGGCTCTGCAGCTAAACTAAAAAGTGGTGGCACACAAAAGCGGCGGTTCAGGGATTCAAAATGTCGGGCCGCGGGGAGGGATTTTCACAGGTGGAGGATAAGATCATCTCAGCCCCACCATGGTTGGGCTGAGGTAAGAAAATTCATAATTATAGCACCTCTAAATGGCCGGAAATGGCAATCTTAGACTTCAATTTTAACATAATCCCTTTTTTCCATTTCTTTTATAATTTAGGAAAAAAAATGTTGAGGGGGTGGGGGGTGGGGCGGCTGGGCACCCTTGAATACACCACTGATTTTAAATCAACACAGTAATGAATAAATACCCCTCTAAAAAGCCGAATATTTTATTAGGTGTCCGTTTACCGTTTTATTCTTCAAAAATATTAAGTTGGAAATTATTTTTAATTATTATGTTTAGGTCGATTTATGAATGGGCCACTAACAGCTCAAAGCCGTTTTGGTAATAACAAATACTATATATCATAACACAAAACCCGATTTAAACCTCAAAAAGTAACTTTAAAATATTTAGGTTGATTTCATAATTTTGTGCCATGAAAATTTTGCCATGAAAATGGTGATTTACGTGGCTAAATAATTATCTCTGATGTCAAAATATATTTGCGCTGATATCAGTCATAGGTCAAATGTCTCCCTCTCTCTCAACTCCAGGGACGCGTTTGCAAAAAGTTACAAAATAATTTTCGTGGGAAAATCCTGAAACAAATAAAAAGATACTGTAACTTACAGCGCAACGCACTCATTGTACAAGAAAAGCAATGATGCTAGCGTTTGTAATATTTGCTGTGACATTTACCATTTCTTTGATTTTGGCAGTTATCTATTTCTATCCTGTAAATATCTTTTGGAGTATGGGATGGCTCAGCATCCCAGCTGGTGCTGCGTAGGTCGTCTCTCTCTAGGCGTAGGCTAAGGCCGCCTAGCCTAGCACTGAATTCAGACAGACGATCGGGCCCTAACAAATACCCTATTTAGACTACACTCTGTTGCGATCGGTTGCGATGTAATCGGTGGTAATCCAAAACTGATTACTCCCGATCGCAATCAACGAACGCATTCAGACCAACAAAAACAAACTTTACATTCTTGGGACTAGGACTCAGGTGGCTAGGCCTATGTTGACTGACCTCAGCCAAACAGTGCCTGTGGAATTCGTTGCGATCAGATTCCATGGTAATCGGGAGTAATAAAGATTGTAGCACCCAATCGCAACGGGTAACAATTGCGATATCGATTACATATCGACTACTACTATTGGTGAGCTTTCACACACGATTTTACTTTGCGATTGGTTGCGACTGGGTGTCGCAATTGCTACAACTGATCGCAATGCGATGCTAGTCTGAATGGGGTATAAGACGATCGGGCCGAATTTGAAAGTGAGTCCGATTGACCTGAAATGCAGGATATAGCCAGATGTCTCTACTATTCTTACTACTACTAGCTAGCCTAGATTAAAAAGAGTTTAGTTAGTTATTATAGTAGTAGCCTACTAATACTACTAGTAGTAGGGATTTTCACAGGTGGAGGGTAAGATCATCTCAGCCCCACCATGGTTGGGTGAGGTAAGAAAATTTATAATTATAGCACCTCTAAATGGCCGGAAATGACAATCTTAGACTTCAATACAGCAATAAACATGGACATCAAATTCATATGATTGGATATGTGTTAAAAGGTGTGGAGCACCGTAACAGCATAATGGTTTGTGGATAACTCGTAAATAAATATGAAGTAAATTGAGTAGTAGTGATATAAACCCTTGTGAATTATGAATGATCCACGTATATTAAAAGTTTTACCATTAGGTCTAATTATCGTAGGATCTGTGTTAATGTGAGAGCAGAGTTTGCATCTTGGTTGGTTGCATGGTGCAGAAAGGCCCCGTGCAAGATTAATTGCCGGGCCGCTTGTGATAAGGGAATTCCCTAAAGTCATCTTAAGAAGCGCTTTTTTTACTCCCTACTCCTAAAGGAATAGGGTTGTAATAAATACTAATGATAATCGGATTCGTAACTTCTAAGAGGGGCATATTCGGTCTCTGCAGCTCTGCAGCTAAACTAAAAAGTGGTGACACACAACACAAAAGTGGCGGTTCAGGGAATTCAAAGTGTCGGGCGGCGCCGGGAGGGATTTTCACAGGTGGAGGGTAAGATCATCTCAGCCCCACAATGTTTGGGCTGAGGTAAGAAAATTTATAATTATAGCATCTCTAAATGACCGGAAATGGCAATCTTAGACTTCAATTTTAATATAATTTCCCTTTTTTCCATTTCTTTTATAATTTAGAAAAAAAAAATGTTGAGGGGGTGGGGGGAAGGGACCCTTGAATACACCACTGATTTTAAATCAACACAGCAATGAATAAATACCCCTCTAAAAAGCCAAATATTATTAGGTGTCCGTTTACCGTTTTATTCTTCAAAAATACTAAGTTGGAAATTATTTTAAATTATTATTTTTAGGTCGATTTATGAATGCATGGCCACTAACAGCTCAACCGTTTTGGAAATAACAAGTACTATACATCAGAACACAAACCCGATTTAAACCTAAATAATAGTAAATTAAAAATATTTAGGTTTATTTCATAATTTTGTGCCATGACAATTTTAGAAAATGGTGATTTACGAGGCTCAATAATTATCTCTGATGTTAAAATATATTGCGCTGATATCAGTCATAGGTCAAATGTCGCCCTCTCTCAACTCCCAGGGACGCGTTTGCAGAAAGTTATGAAATAATTTTCGTGGGAAAATCCTGAAACAAATAATAAGATACTGTAACTTACAGCGCAACGCACTCATTGTACAAGAAAAGCAATGATGCTAGCGTTTGTAATATTTGCTGTGACATTTACCATTTCTTTGATTTTGGCCGTTATCTATTTCTATCCTGTAAGTATCTTTTGAAGTATGGGATGGCTCAGCATCCCAGCTGGCGCTGCGTAGGTCGTCTCTCTCTAGCTTTAGGCGTAGGCTAAGGCCGCCTAGCACTGAATTCAGACAGACGATCGGTCCGAATTTGAAAGTGAGTCCGATTGACCTGAAATGCAGGATATAGCCAGCTGTCTCCGCTGTCTCTACTAGTGTTAGTACTACTAGCTAGCTAACCTAGATTAAAAAGAGTTTAGTTAGTTATTATAGTAGTAGTACTACTACTAGGGCCTAGCCTAGGCCTGGGACCTAGGCCTAGTGTGTGCTAACTAAACTGAAATAGTAATATCATTTGCTTACATCTTAGGTCAAGTCTTAATATAATTTAGAAAATAAATTATCCTTTTTTTTGACAGGAAAGTAAAATCAGTGAAGGCAGTAGAGCGCAAGGCCACTAGGCTAGGCTAGAGTGGGTCTAGGGCTTCGGCTAGGTCAGAGCAAAGGGCTGGGGACATAGGCCTAGATAGTTGCCAACTTGACTCGCAGATAATTTATCATCAAAAAAGTAGTATAGCCGTATTAGTCAAATGAGTTGGTAACACTTTTTTGACTAACTATGAATTCTATTTCATAAGCTATCGCTTCATCAGGTGAGTGAAGAGTTTCACAAGTTACAGCAATAAACATGTACATCAAATTCATATGATTGGATAATTAAGCTAAATATATATGATAAACAATAAATCTGATTGGATACAGAAACAAAGAAGTAAATCCATATAGTTAGCAATAGAAGCTAAGGTCTAGCTGGAACAATGGAGATGTGTTAAAAGTGTGAAGCACCATAACAGCATAATGGTTTGGGGATAAATCGTAAATAAATATGAAGTAAATTGAGTAATACAAGTAGTGATATAAACCCTTGTGAATATGAGAGAATGATCCACGTATATTAAAAGTTTTACCATTAGATCTAATTATCGTAGGATCTGTGTTAGTATGAGAGCAGAGTTTGCATCTTGGTTGGTTGCATGGTTGTGTGCCATAAACTGTGTTGTTGTGTTTGAGTGTGCTAGAAACGAGTCATTACTTTAGGTTTGGTGGTTGGCGATAGGCAATAATGGGTTTATCAGTAAATATTTTGTTGAGAGTTTCGTCATTTTGAATGATGGGTTGTAGGTCATTGATGATATGTTGTAGAGGTCTTACGTGTGGACTGTAGGTGGTGACCAATGGTGTTCTGTCGGACTTATCTATATTGGCATGTTGTAAGAGCTCCTGTCTGGGTTGTTGTTTAGCTCTTTTGGATCTGCTCATTGATGGTTTGTTGTTTGTAGCAAAGTTGCTTGAATTTGTGTTGAAGTCTTTTGAGTTGAGTGGATCGGTCAATATTATCAGAACAAATTTGTGAGTATCTAAGCGCTTGGCTGTAGATGATGGAGCAAGTTGTATGAGGAGGGTGGAAACTGCAAGCATGCAGAGGTTTCCCAGAGTCAGTTTGTGGTAGATGGATGTGGAGATATGGCCATTGTTAATCGTGACCTTGATATCAAGAAAGCTATGCTGGTGTTGTGATTGCTCCATCGTGAATTTTATGGTGGGGTGAGCATTGTTAAAAGCCTGATAGAATTCCTCTAATTCAGGCAGTCCCTTGGTCCATATAAGGAAAATGTCATCAATGAAGCAAAGAAAGATGAGTGGTGATGTGGGATATGATGCCAGAAGCACTCTTCAAGGTCCGCCATGAATATGTTAGCATATTGCAACAAAATGACTTGGTGACAGTATTTAAGCTGAGTATGTACAGTACCTCTAATCAACAGTGATCACCTTAGTCAGCGCTGGATGATGGCGAGTCCTGCGAGCGACAGGCCTAAGCCCCCTAGAAGCTCTTTCAAAATTCTTCATATTTTTAGTCTGAATGGAAATTTAAATCAAATCAACCTTAATCTCATGAATTTATGAATCATTCAAAATATATTGTTATAAAAAGTATCGCAAACTTCATTACATTTTGGATGATTTAATAGACACCAATTTCAACTCTGTTCAATGCATTAGCAGGACTTTACGATGTAAACAACATTTAACACCCAATCATCCAAATTTTGATGACATCATTTTTGGTTTATAATTGTACAGTATACCAGTTCAAATTTCTTTTCTGTTTATATGAATGGACAATAAAGAATTATTATAATGTCTTGACATAAACCTTCATGCACTGTTTAATTTTATAGCTTAGTGCAAAGTTTTGATATTACTTTTTATAGATGATGGGTGTTTGACTGTAAAAAAAAAAAAGCTAAAGATATTAGGCAGGCTAACCACATAGGGTTGTCGCTTGCCCCAACAAAAGTGCTGTCTGGACACATGGCCTGCGAACTGCACTTTACCCACCTGCGCATAAATAGTGGCACGGTTTAGCATACTAAGCTGTGCTGTGCTGAAGTGAGAACATTCTCTTTTATCTTATATCAATCCTGTTAGGGCCTCAAAAAAAACAATTTTTACATTTAACTTTATGAAATAATGTCTGTGTATATCATTTTCTTTCTGTTCATTGTTCTTGTTTTTGAAATGTGTTGGTTGATTTTAATTCCTTAATTAAATGAAAAAAAATGATGGATAATTTATTGCATTCTTTTGTAGTTAATGTGTATTAACGATACTTGCCTACAATTTCCATTTTTTCAGGGATCTACAAAATACACCACGATACCAGGAGCCAGCCCATCACATCCAAAGTTAGTATAAGTAATAATATGGTCCATCAACAGCATCTAAATTTGAACTGAAATTCTATGTAAAACTGTCCACACTCAGATTTTCAGAACAAACACTTGCATGGCCATATGTTGTCATGATGTGCCTATATATGGCATCGGATGTGCTTATCAGTGGATTCAGGGTCGGGGAAGCCGTCCCTGGGACCCCCCTCCCCCACTAAATTTTTCAAAATAAAAAAAATACAGATAAAAAGTCTATTTCCGGCCATCTTAAGGTGCCACCATAGTGGGGCTGAGGTAGTATAGGCCCTCCATCTGTCAAAGTCATTTTATTTCTGTTCATTTTTCTTGTTTTGAAACGTGTTTGGTTGAATTAATTCTTTAATTAAATGAAATGAAAAAAAGACCTTAAAAAAGGCCCAAAACAACAGGACCCAACTTTGAAATCGCAGACCTGTAAAGATGCTTTATAGACAGATTAGATAACAATTTTACAATTGTTATGTGGAAGATTAGTGTCCTCAGTTTTTTTTGTTTTTTTTTGACAAAAAAAAACTGTTGAATGTTGACCTATGGTCATAATGTGATGCCATCATGACCATATTTAGGCATGTCACATGTTTTTGTCAAATAAAATTTGATAGTCTTGATTGGGCTTTAAAGAAATTTTGCCTTTAGCCTATAAAACCATGGTATACCAATTGCTTACTGCTCACTGGATTGATGTCTGTGTGTCTCACGAATGTCTAGAAACCATCAATATACTTATGATCATTTTCATTTTTTCCATTCAGAGATGGAAATTTGGCTGACATCGGTGCAGCTGGCAGCTTGCACCAATATCTGAAGAAGCTTCACAATGAACACGGACCAATCGTCTCATTCTGGTTTGGACAGCAGATGTTTGTTAGTCTTGGTAGTCCAGAGCTTTGGAGAGCACATATGAAAGTATTTGATAGACCACGTAAGTACAATTGGATACAATATTAAAGGTTTAAAAACAAATTCTTGATCATGCATACACAAGTAATTAGGTTAGTCCTAGTCTGACCTTTCTTTGGAGCCTAGACTAGAACTATCCTAGCTAGGACTGCTGGCTTTCAAATGTTTTTGAGTCAAACCGCTGAGCGGCTGAGGCAGGGGTGCCGCAACCTACAGCCATAATGTCGGTGCTAGATTCAATGGCACGCTCGTCTATGGTTCTGGCGGTAGAACAAGTCTTCTCGGATAAGGTCTATAAAGCATAGGCCTAGTGTACACAATTAGCTCATGTGCACTATAAAGAACCCAATACTTCTTTCAAAATGAGTACCCCTGTGTACTGGTCCATCTCACATCCCCTGCCATTGTGGACTAGACGTCGCACTTTTTTGACCTGGGCATCCATAATGACGCAACGCCCTCAGTAATAGTTTTCATTTTTCCGGTGCTGGTTTGAATACCATGAAATCTGTGTAATTACTCAATGAGTATAATGTAATTTTACATAGCAAACATTTATATCAAACATTTTTCAATATTAAACATGTTGCATTTGATTTTTTTTAGCTGAGCTTTTTCTGCTCTTTGAACCTCTCATCACAAAATATAGTATTCAGTATCAAAATAAGGATGAAGGCAGAAAAAGGCGCAAATTAACAGACAACGCTTTTGGACATAATATGCTGGGTAATTTCTACAGCGTTTTCCATGATGTAAGGACTCACCACTTGTTGCAATTTTTAAACTGTTGTTTTGTTTAAAACCAAATTAAATTGATAATAGGTAGTAGATTCATCTTATTTCGATGTGTTTTGTGTCAGTAAAATATCATAGGAGTGAATTTTTTGCCATACCTGACATGTTTATCGTAGTGAATACTCAGTATGTTCCCAAATACTGATTCGGGTGGAAATCGTACCCATGATCTCCAGGTAACTAGCCTGGTGTCATAACCACCCAGACCACCATGTTTGCGCTTTGTGACTATATTGTTGAATCCGATCCTTAAGTAGCAGTGGGTGCTGCAATGCTATTTTGATGTGTGTGTTCCTAAATCCTAAAAAAAATGCGCAGCTGTAGGCACTGCATGTGCTGCAGGTACTGCAGGAATTGGCCATTCTGGAGTGTCAATGAAACTTGACAACTGACCAATCAGAACACACCAGGAATATGCTTGTGTCCTACAAACACATGAATTGTCCCACAAATGCACATGTTTGCGTATGTTTTTACACTGTTGTCTTGTACTTTACTGTAGCAACAATATCCAAGTGGCAGGGCTTAATGGAACGATTCATTTATCCAGAAAATTTCTTATTCATATTTATCCCCATTTGCTAGGTTGTGGATGAGTTATGCCAGAAGATATCAAGTCTGCCAGACACAGAGCACATCCCAGTTTGCCAGTACATGATGGCACTTGCTCTCAAAGGAATTACTCAAACCTCTTTTGGTGATTACTTTAAAGATGACGAGAAAGCATTTGAGTTCCGGAAGCATTATGATCTGGTATGTATAACAACAGAAGGACACATGAATAACAAAATTAAGACACCCATGAGTTGTCTTAAGTTTACTCGATCATCTTGTTCACCATCACTGTTCAGAGGATCTTTTTTCTCTCCATTGCCCCCGTAGACACTATGTTATCAGCTGGCAGTTAATCCTGTAAGAGCGAGTAAATCCAGTGGAGGTGCATTATGGGTGGGGCGCCCTATTAGAAATTGAATAGTTAAGAACTCGAACAAAAAAGTGCATACATCATAGAGACACAACACACAAACAAACAAAAAACCATGATTTTTCAGATAATCAGATAAATTATTTTGGCTTAAAATATAAATGCCTATTCCCACATTATCAAAACATGATAATATTGTTCAAGCTTTCAACACCAAGAGAATATATATTCAATATGTGCTAGCCACGTAAGTTTTTCATAGTTACTTCTGTTTTACTAAAAAGTTCAAATTCCCAAAGCACAATGCAAACAGATAACAACTTGGTAAATTTTTTCGTTACAGTGTTGGTATGATCTTGAATCCCGCATGTCTGGTGATGAACCGGCTCCAGATAGTGACCGTCAAAAGAATTTCCTCAAATGTAAACACACCTTATTTTCTTGTTTTTTTGTATAACTTTATGATTTTGTCATTTTTGCTAGCAAGAAATATTATGATAATACTTATTGTTATTAATAATATTTATTGAAGTTGGGCAATTACTTTTGAGCAAGATGTTTAAACCTCAAGCCACTCATGCTCATGCAGAAGTGAGACATTGCACAGATATACAGTACACTTAAATTTGCCTAAGTTGACTGTGCCTATGTTGAATAATTACCAAGTCAATCTGATTTTACATGCCAAATTTTTTGTGTTTTCCATTAATTAACAATCTGTATGTCGCATTTTACCTAAGTTGAACAATATTTTAATGGCCTTTTGGATTCGACATAGATTCAATTGTAGTCCTGTTCTTAATGAGAGTGGAGTTGTATAGCTTAGTGGTTAACATGCTTGCCTTCTAATACCATCCTGTAATTGGCAAGTTACTACTGTTGGATGCAAATGGAAAAAAAAATCCAGTATCTGTTCTGCATTACTAAACCTATTATATGCTGGAAAGAATTTTATTTTCTTATATAATGTTTGCTTCATGAATTTAAAATACAGTGTATGTTTTAGCTTCTATTTGTTCATTTGTCTGCATTAAGTTTAACACTATACAAGTTCCCTATGCAAATATATATCAAGTCAATTTAACCCAAATACAATTTGCTCAGTGTGACATTTTCACCTTTTGCCTGATTTTCTATGTGTCATTTCATTCTGAGTTCTTCACCTGTCTTCCATTTAGAAGCCATCTCAAGAAATCCAAAATATAAAATTCTGATAAATATATAGGTTATTTAAAAGAGAATAGCACTGCAACTGTATCATTATTTAAAGGAAAATTGGTAAATTTTGAGATACCTACTCAGGATGTAACGTTCTTACCCAGCAGACTCGGCTTTAGGTATAGTGAGCCTATCCCGGGTTCCATAGTTCAAATGAATATGACAGTGTTGTCAAAGTAGTTTAAGTTGATGACGTCGTTTTGTGTAATTGTTATACCTTATGTTGAATGTTTCAGGAGTCACATTTTCTTCTGTTGATAGTGGGGTTTCCCACTAATTGTTATTGCTTATTTTATTAATTAAGTAAATTTTGAAAATGCAGTCATAGATTGAATTGGATTTATTCGATGTAAACACCAAGGATAGCCCACGAAAGTCTAGAAGAAGACTTATTTCCAGTGGGGTCCTTCTGGTGGTGATTGGGCTGTACACTGAGACAATCCCCTACTCTTTTCCGAAGAGTGTACTGCATTCTGTAACGTGCACTTGGGCCATTATTGCACATGGGACCAATGGACCGAAAGACGGTGCGCTATTGTAACTTGTATTTCAGCCCTCCAGCTGAAACACAAGGAGAGGCAGCGATGGGAATTGAACGTGGGACCTAGAAATCTCAATGGTTCAGTGGACATACAGTGGCTACCACCAGATTAGCCTACTAAGCTAAGCTGCTCCCCAATGTATTGTAGGTGCAGCAAATTGTGTTTATGTACTTTTTCTTGTTAGTTTTTATGATCATCATGTTTATTTTGTTATTCTATGGATATGAAATTTTGAAATAAAGATGAAATGAATGATTGAATGAAATACAAAAGGTACAGATTTAGTTCCCTCTGGGATTAGCAGTGGCGTAACAATAACAAGTTTTCAAAGTTGGTAACATGTTTTTTCTGTTTTTGTTTTTTTTTAAAGCCAGGGACTTTATGCATGACACAATCCGAACTATTATCAAACAACGTCGTAATAACCCACCTGTGGAAGATAAGCAAGTCTTCCTTGACATCCTCATTCAGGCGGACATTCCTGAAGAGCAACTCCTTGCGGATGCACTGACCTATGTCATCGGTGGTCTGCACACCTCTGGAAATGGTTTGTTTAATGTCTTC